AGCCATGCTAGCTGTGTAGGGGCAGTGCTAGCCATGCTAACCATGTAGGGTTAGTGATAGCCATGCTAGCTGTGTAGGGGCAGTGCTAGCCATGCTAACCATGTAGGGTTAGTGATAGCCATGCTAGCTGTGTAGGGGCAGTGCTAGCCATGCTAACCATGTAGGGTTAGTGATAGCAATGCTAGCTGTGTAGGGGCAGTGCTAGCCATGCTAACTATGTAGTTTAGCATGGCTCTTTGATCAGTTCTCCTCTACAGGAACAGAAACCTGCATCGACCTGTGAAAACTTCACAATAAACTGGAAACCGTCTTCCTCATGTGTGTGAAAAGCATAAAACGACTGTTGTTCCTGTTATTTCCATAAACGAGGAAGCCTCTGAGGCTGTAGTTAGTCTGTGCTGCAGCTCCTGAGCATCAGTGGAAACAGAGACAGTCTGTGTTTCCTGATTCTGGATGATGAAACCAATCTGTGGTCAAACTTTATAAATGATCATTGCTTTAAACTTTAAGGTCACCTGGTAGAGCATCCTCCCTTTCATGGGTGAATGATCAAGTATTTTAAAGTCTAGATGTTTTCAGTCCCAGTCACTGAGTCCAGGTCACATGACCAAGTGGTTCTAATCTCTTTAGCATGACTGCAGAGGTAAACCAATAAAGAAGGGAAGCAGGCTGATGGGCCTGAGTAGGGGCCCTGAGTAGGGGCCCCACAGAGGCCTTCATTTCACTTATTATTATAATGAGTGAGGATGAGGAGCCGTTTAATCACATTTAACGGCTTCAGCGTAGAAAGCTGACTCCTCATGATGTAGAGTTCATTCTGTGGATAGAACTATAAAAGTTGCTGCATTTCTGATCAAGCAGTTTCCTGTTTTCTTCCTGTTTGAGGAGCAGCAGTGGAAAACCACTCCTGACTGATGTTAACAGTTAAATTCCAGATTTAACGCCTGGAGTCGAACTCTGCAAAGACCCAAAACAGGCTTCATGCAGCAGGAGCTGAATGGAAAAGGTAGAGATGAAGCTAGAATCCCACCTTCAATGATTCCCCACTTGGTCTTCCTGCCCAGCACCTTGTTCCCGTTCACCTGGTGCTCCTTGTCGGTTCCCACCACGGCAAAGGGAATGTTTTCCTGGAGACAAAGAGTCAGAGCGTTTCAATGAAACATGTGAAGCTGCTGTTCTCACTGCTTCTCTTAGTTTCTTGGTCTCTGCTGTATCACAGATTAAATAACGGCTCATCGTTACCCTGATTCTGTCGTTGAGGAGCCGCTCCTCTGGATCTTCATCATACTCTCTCTGGGGGTAAACGCGGATTCCATTGGACGCCAAGTCTTGCCTTATCTGCAAACACCAACAGATCAGATTAGATGCTTCGCACTATTGGCTGTCAGGTATTCTCCTGTTCTCCAGGTAGAACATGGTGGGAGTCAGAGAGCGCTGATTAGTGCGGAGCAGCACTGTCCTCCCAGACACCCACAACTGAGAGGAAAGATGTACCTCTGGAGGCGAGGAGGAGGGGACAGGTGTGTTTTGGTTTTCTGTGAGCTTGTGTGGTCGTTTCCTGGAGGACCTGCTTTAGCAATGGATGCCTCCTTCCTGGCTTTGAACCTGACTGCCATCCTCCTTTTCCTGTTGAAAGAACCTAAAACCTGAACGCTGGTTCAGCTGATCTGGAGTCAACCCACAGGAAGGACGTCCAGAGGACTTTCCTTGCAGTAACTTCTAAGTCCAGCAGAGGTCAGCATAGCTGACATTAAAGCCTGAGCAGTTGTCAGCTGACCAGTCTAAATCTAGCCTGCAGTGTTTTAACGGTGGCCTGCTAGGGTCACGTGTTCCAGGGTTCCAACCCACATTCTGACCAACTTCACCTCTGAAGACACGTGATGACAGACTTTAAACTGAGAGCAGATGTTTAGCAGCTGGACTGGCAGCAGGGATTGAATTAGCTTTAATGGGGAAAACTGAGCAGACATGAACATCAGCGGAGGAGCTGAAGAACAGCTGGTCCAGATGTTTATCCAGAACTACCAGAGCTGTAAACGGTTTTAGGGGAAAACTGAGATAAAAAGATTAAAAATAAAGGTTGTCCTTGAAAGTCCTGCCCAGCTGCCATCATCATGTGACTGATGAAATTAGACCTTCAGCAGAACATTGTGGTAACTGGCTGGATGCTGCTGCTTCCTGCTGAGGCACATCTGATATCTTAGATCTTCATCCATTCAGTGATGGCCGCCGGCTGGTGGTTTATCTGAGCTTTGTGTCGTACATCCAACATGGCCTCCTCCTCGGTCCTGTTCTGGTCTGGAGCGTTTCGTCCTGCTGCCTGTCTGACCTCCACGTCTAACGCCGTCGGTGGGTTTGTTGACACCGTGGGGCCGCCTCGCTACCATGATCCCAGACCGAGAAGCAAGCGACCGGCGTAGAACCAGAGACCAGTCCAGGAGAATCGCTTCTGGTGAAAACTTCTGGATATTTTCATGGCAGCATTCAGGAACGTGGTGGAGGAGATGGAAGCTGCTAACTGGTGCAGTCTACTGGAACGACTGGTTTAAAACTCTACCAACATTTATCCCACTTATGCAAACAGAACATTTGGACAATTCTTTCCCCCAAAATGGTTAAAAGTTGCTCCTATCTCCTCCTGAGACCTGATGTGTCAGACAGTCAGAGTTCAGCTCATTTACAGCAGAGGAAGTGAGAGGAGGGGCATAAAGAGGGGGAGGAGCCTCTCTGCCTCACCCGTCCTTCAGACCCAGGGTGTGTGATCTCCTCACCCGCTCTTTAAACTCCTGCCGCTCCTCCACGGTGAGCGTGTCGGCTTTGGCGATGACGGGAACGATGCTGACTATCTTCCCCAGCCTCTTCATGAACTCCACATCGATGGGACGGAGCCTGAAAACAAACGCAGTTTTATTTCCAACATGTAACCGTGAATCAGGAAGAATTAATTAATTAGAATTAGAATAGAATTAATTAATTAATTAATTAATCTCAAATCTTTTCCTACGAATAAACGTTCAGACTGTGTTCAGCTCCCAGAGGTCAAATCATTAAACTGTTCTACTGAAGGTCTGCCTGGTTTTCAGGCTGCTTCTCCTGCTGGATGCTGAACCTCCACCCAGCCTCAGATCATCCATCTTCCTGGAACCGCTGCCCTCCTTAAATATCGTTTAATAAATGTAAAATACTTTAAAACAGGATTCTGGGAACAGCATTGAGTTCCTTCCAGGTCCAGCGCCCCCTGCAGGCCACTGGCAGCACTGCACTGTCTCTAAACAATACAGTTTCTGTTTTGGTTCTGATCTCAGAGCAGCAGGTCTAGAATCCTGGACTTCCTGGTAAAGATGAGGAAACAATCTGGATGAAATCCTCCATCAGAGAAGCAGCTAACAGAGCTAACAGCTGTTAGCGTGTGTTTAAGGTACCCTGACCAGGGCTTTTCAATTTACAGGAACGCCAGTACGGACTCGTGTCCTCGCCAAGTCTGTTCTTAAGAAGAATGCAGGAAAGTCTGGACTCGGGGAGAATGGGAACACGCAGAATAAATCTGGGTCAACTGGAACAGAAGCGAACTGATGACATCACCACACGCTCTGCTCCTCTGGAGCTGCATTTCACCTCCTGTTATTAATAGGCTCTAGATAATAATAGATTATGACTTTTTCATTTATGCAGAGAGAGAGCTGCTAACGTTAGCCCGTCTGCATTAGCCAGGGCTAACGTTAGCCCGTCTGCAGCGGCCAGNCTTAGTTTCTTGGTCTCTGCTGTATCACAGATTAAATAACGGCTCATCGTTACCCTGATTCTGTCGTTGAGGAGCCGCTCCTCTGGATCTTCATCATACTCTCTCTGGGGGTAAACGCGGATTCCATTGGACGCCAAGTCTTGCCTTATCTGCAAACACCAACAGATCAGATTAGATGCTTCGCACTATTGGCTGTCAGGTATTCTCCTGTTCTCCAGGTAGAACATGGTGGGAGTCAGAGAGCGCTGATTAGTGCGGAGCAGCACTGTCCTCCCAGACACCCACAACTGAGAGGAAAGATGTACCTCTGGAGGCGAGGAGGAGGGGACAGGTGTGTTTTGGTTTTCTGTGAGCTTGTGTGGTCGTTTCCTGGAGGACCTGCTTTAGCAATGGATGCCTCCTTCCTGGCTTTGAACCTGACTGCCATCCTCCTTTTCCTGTTGAAAGAACCTAAAACCTGAACGCTGGTTCAGCTGATCTGGAGTCAACCCACAGGAAGGACGTCCAGAGGACTTTCCTTGCAGTAACTTCTAAGTCCAGCAGAGGTCAGCATAGCTGACATTAAAGCCTGAGCAGTTGTCAGCTGACCAGTCTAAATCTAGCCTGCAGTGTTTTAACGGTGGCCTGCTAGGGTCACGTGTTCCAGGGTTCCAACCCACATTCTGACCAACTTCACCTCTGAAGACACGTGATGACAGACTTTAAACTGAGAGCAGATGTTTAGCAGCTGGACTGGCAGCAGGGATTGAATTAGCTTTAATGGGGAAAACTGAGCAGACATGAACATCAGCGGAGGAGCTGAAGAACAGCTGGTCCAGATGTTTATCCAGAACTACCAGAGCTGTAAACGGTTTTAGGGGAAAACTGAGATAAAAAGATTAAAAATAAAGGTTGTCCTTGAAAGTCCTGCCCAGCTGCCATCATCATGTGACTGATGAAATTAGACCTTCAGCAGAACATTGTGGTAACTGGCTGGATGCTGCTGCTTCCTGCTGAGGCACATCTGATATCTTAGATCTTCATCCATTCAGTGATGGCCGCCGGCTGGTGGTTTATCTGAGCTTTGTGTCGTACATCCAACATGGCCTCCTCCTCGGTCCTGTTCTGGTCTGGAGCGTTTCGTCCTGCTGCCTGTCTGACCTCCACGTCTAACGCCGTCGGTGGGTTTGTTGACACCGTGGGGCCGCCTCGCTACCATGATCCCAGACCGAGAAGCAAGCGACCGGCGTAGAACCAGAGACCAGTCCAGGAGAATCGCTTCTGGTGAAAACTTCTGGATATTTTCATGGCAGCATTCAGGAACGTGGTGGAGGAGATGGAAGCTGCTAACTGGTGCAGTCTACTGGAACGACTGGTTTAAAACTCTACCAACATTTATCCCACTTATGCAAACAGAACATTTGGACAATTCTTTCCCCCAAAATGGTTAAAAGTTGCTCCTATCTCCTCCTGAGACCTGATGTGTCAGACAGTCAGAGTTCAGCTCATTTACAGCAGAGGAAGTGAGAGGAGGGGCATAAAGAGGGGGAGGAGCCTCTCTGCCTCACCCGTCCTTCAGACCCAGGGTGTGTGATCTCCTCACCCGCTCTTTAAACTCCTGCCGCTCCTCCACGGTGAGCGTGTCGGCTTTGGCGATGACGGGAACGATGCTGACTATCTTCCCCAGCCTCTTCATGAACTCCACATCGATGGGACGGAGCCTGAAAACAAACGCAGTTTTATTTCCAACATGTAACCGTGAATCAGGAAGAATTAATTAATTAGAATTAGAATAGAATTAATTAATTAATTAATTAATCTCAAATCTTTTCCTACGAATAAACGTTCAGACTGTGTTCAGCTCCCAGAGGTCAAATCATTAAACTGTTCTACTGAAGGTCTGCCTGGTTTTCAGGCTGCTTCTCCTGCTGGATGCTGAACCTCCACCCAGCCTCAGATCATCCATCTTCCTGGAACCGCTGCCCTCCTTAAATATCGTTTAATAAATGTAAAATACTTTAAAACAGGATTCTGGGAACAGCATTGAGTTCCTTCCAGGTCCAGCGCCCCCTGCAGGCCACTGGCAGCACTGCACTGTCTCTAAACAATACAGTTTCTGTTTTGGTTCTGATCTCAGAGCAGCAGGTCTAGAATCCTGGATTTCCTGGTAAAGATGAGGAAACAATCTGGATGAAATCCTGCATCAGAGAAGCAGCTAACAGAGCTAACAGCTGTTAGCTTGTATTTAAGGTACACTGACCAGGGCTGTTTCAATTTACAGGAACGCCAGTACGGACTCGTGTCCTCGCCAAGTCTGTTGTTGAGAAGAATGCAGGAAAGTCTGGACTTGGTGAGAACGGGAGCACGCAGAATAAATCTGGGTCAACTGGAACAGAAGCGAACTGATGACATCACCACACGCTCTGCTCCTCTGGAGCTGCATTTCACCTGCTGTTATTAATAGGCTCTAGATAATAATAAATTACGACTTTTTCATTTATGCAGAGAGAGAGCTGCTGCAGACAGGCTAACGTTAGCCCATCTGCAGCAGCCCTCTCTCTGCATAGCCGTGTGTGAAGGACCGCTGGCTCTGATGGAGGTTTGATTGTTTTATTTGGTAAAATGTTCAGTTGATTTGTGTTTATCTGACTGTGTTCATTAATATTCCTCCAATAAATGTAAAAAGTCATAATTTATTATTATCTAGAGACTATTAATACCAGGAGGTGAAATGCAGCTCCAGAGGAGCAGAGCGTGCGATGATGTCATCAGTACGCTTCTGTTCCAGTTGACCCAGATTTATGCTGCGTGTTCCTGTTTTCCCAGAGTCCAGAGTTTGCTGGGTTCTTCTTAAGAACGGACTTGGCGAGGACACGAGTCAGTGCTCGTCACATGACTCGTTCAGAGACGGATCGACCCTGTGAGGTCACAGAAGATCATTGGATAGATCAGATAGGTCAAAGGTCATACTATGACACAGCTGAAAAGGCAGGAGGCTGTAGCTCGCCATATTAGCACGCCGTCATGGTGGACAGACGCCAGAACCAGGCTGCAAGTCTGGAGGCAGTAACCAACCTGCAGATCCAGAGTCTGGTATTTATTATATAATGTTTAATGTATATTATATAATGTTTAATGTATATTATATAATGTTTAATCTATAATATATAATGTTTAGTAGCTGTTTAAACATAAACTCCAGTTTCACTGAGTTATCATTAGTTTTAGTTAAGTATAACAACCATCGGCTGAACAGCTGCAGCATCACGTCTGTGTTCTTTACGATCAGCGTGTCGCAGCCGTGTTCTCTGGCCAATCAGCTGTTAGCTTTGCCAGCACAGTTATTAACCCCCGCCTGACTACGGAAAATGATTCTTAATTAGGTCTAAATGTTTGGTATCTTTAAAAATGTGGTTATCCTGATGAATGAGTGAGAAAAGGCGGCGGCAGTTTGCAACGAGCCCACAGGAAGTAAAGAAAAGCTGTTCTCTGATGACAACGAGGAGCGGAGACTGGGTGGAAGTTCACCTTCAGCCAGGAGCACCGTGAACATCCAGAGATACAGAAGGCGGGTCAGAATGGTCTAGTTAAAGTAAACAGGAGAGCTGAAGCTCCTGAGTTTTAATATCAGCTGCTTGATGTTGAGATGAGCCTAAAACCTGCAGCTGATTCTAAGGAAGGTTGCTGGTCTGTGTCTGAACCGCAGGCAGGAAGAGGCTGTGAGAGCAGAGGGGAAGGATGAGAGAGGAAACAGGAGGCTCCCCCTCTGGGGGTCAGGGTGTGTGTGGGGGGGTCACCTGTGCCCGGTCGCAGGCAGGAAGTAGATGCAGCAGTGAACTCTGCTGTCAGGGATTCTTCTCTTGCGGTTGATGTTCAGCTCCTCTCGCAGGTATTTCTCATATTGCTCGTTGACATACTTCACGATGGGCTCCCAGCTGGAAAGAGGGGCCCCGGGGCCCCGGACAGTTATTAAGGTTTATGTGTTGCTGACAAAGATCAATATCTTTAATTCATACATTAACAGTATAAGTGCGGGGGGGCAGCACCTAGGAAAGGAATTTAAAAAATGAGGCATTTAAAAATATCGACAGAAACATAAAAGTATAAAAAGAAAAGTTGAAATCTTGACATTTTAAAGGGAGGATGCTCTACCAGTCTACCAGGTGATCTTAATCCTGATTTTTTCTTTAAATAAAAGCTTCTGCTTTCCTCCATCATGAAGACATTTCCTCCTCCAGCTGACCTCATCTGACCAGCAGGAGCAGAAACTGCTCCATTGCTGTTTAACCAGACCTACAGTATTAATCAGGAGGATTTGGATCAAC